ATTATCATCATCACCACCACCGTCATCATCATTATCATCCTCATCCCCATCACCATTATCATCATCACTATCATCATTATCATCATCCCAATCCCTATCATCATCACCACCATCATCATCCTCATCACCATTACCACCATCCTCTTCCCCATCATCATCACCACCATCATCATCCTCATCACCATTACCACCATCCTCTTCCCCATCATCATCACCATCACTCTTCCCCTCAGAATGACGTCACGAGCAAGGCGAGCGCCCCCCCTCCCTCCCCCCTTCCCCCGCCCGCGTGGGGAAGTGGGTGACCACTGTCAGTCTCTCCTGCGGTGACGTCACTGATAAAATCGAGCAGGAAGTGGATATTCGAGTTTCCTTTGATCTTTGTGAACTGATGGCGGCCTCATTTGGGCGAAGGGAACCCGCGATTCCTCCGCAATTAGTCTCTCGAGGATTAAAAGGCCGCCGATTGTCAGGGTGATCCGGGAACGATTTGCAAAATGGATTAGATTTACCGTCCGGATCGGGGGTTGGGGGGGAGGGGGGGAGAAAGGAGGTTTCCGTGATCCGAACTTTTGATTTCTTTTTCTTTTTTAAGGGGTTTCTTTTTCTTAATCTTCGTTTGAGATATACTATTCGATTACGTGATTGGCATACGTGATTGGCATTAATCCTTGGTCGCGAGAGCAGCGACAGATAACCACCATTGCCACGGGTTGGGGGGTTAGGGGGGATAATGAACTTGCAAGATGTTTTTTCATATGATTTTGAGAACGTGGACTTCCATGATGATCGGCCGGCTTGTTAAGATTGAGAGAGGCCTGACCTAATGCATATTCATATATATAGATATGTTTATACACAAATAAATGTGTGTATATATTACTCTACATATAACGACCACATGGGTAGACAGATACATGCATTTCTGTCAGACAGGCAGATAAATACCCGCGCTTTCTGTCCTCTCCGATGCGTGACGTCCAACAACCCGACCGACTGTCCCTTGTTATGATTTCGGCCCGATTGCCTCTCGCGCCCTGGAAGGAAGCTCATTACGGGCCTAAAGCCTAATGCCAATGTGAACCCAAAAATCTTTTAAAAATGTATCGGAGGCGAGATACATTTCTCGGAAGGAGAAAACATTTTGTATCGTGTATTTTCTGGCGATTTCTTGCGTGAAATTCCAAAGTGGCCGTTATTTCCCGTAGAGTTCGTGAGGCAATTGCTCTTTCCATTATCATCAATATCCTCCTCCTCCTCCTCGTTATCATTCTTTTTTAATGATTAATATGTCTCTAAAAATACCACCAAAGGAATATTTCTCCCAATTACCCTTATCATTTCGGTCTTTTCCTTCCTCCACTTCTTGTGTTTTTTGTCTCCTCTTCCTCCTTCTTATTTCTTTTTTTCTGTCGCAGAGATTACTGTCAATTATTTCTGCTGTCCTGGCAAAGCCTACCGAGCGGAATAATGAGGAATTTTAATTATGGTTTCGTTTTTGAATCATTACTGGGTTTAGAGATTCAGGAAAAAAACATTCAAAACATATTATATAAGGATGTGTATCTGTTTACATATATATATATTATATATATATATATATATATATATATATATATATATATATATATATATATATATATATATATACATACATATATATATCATATATATAGATAGATAGATATAAGTAAGTGTATAGATAGATAAATTGATAGACAGATAGATATAAGTAAATATGTATATCTATATTTATATACATATATATATATATATATATATATATATATATATATATATTTATTTATTTATTTATTTACTTATTTATGTATATATATACATATATATATACATATATATATACATATATATATACATATATATATATGTATATATTTACATGTATATATATATATATATATATATATATATATATATATATATATATATATATATATATATATATATATATGATATATATATATTATATATATATATATATATATATATATATATATATATATATATGTATATATATATATGTATATATATATATATATATATATATATATATATATATATATATATATATATATGTATGTATGTATGTATATATATATACATATATATATATATATATATATATATATATATATATATATATATATATATATTCATTTATTTATATATATATGTATACACACACACACACAACACACACACACACACACACATATGTATATACACACACATATCCATACACCCACTCTCACTCCCTCGCCCTCCCTCCCCCCCTCAGCCTCACTCCTCACCGCCCCCCTCTCTCTATCTCTCCTCCCTCCCCTCACTGCTCCCCCCCCCCCCTCAGCACCATTCCCCTCGCCGCCGCAGCGCCTCCTCCGCCTTCAGTCTGATTCCCCTCATCTCTCCCTTTGCCTCTCTCTCCCCTTTTATGTCGCCCTTTTATCGCGCTCCCCCCACCTCCCGCCCTCTTCCCCTTTTATCCCGTCCCCCCCCACTTCCCCTTTTATCTCACTTCCCTCACCTCCTCCCCTTGTCTCATTCCCCTCACCACCACCCTCTCCTCCATCCCCCTCCCTCCCTCCCCCCTCTCCCCTCTCCCCCTCACTCCCTCCCCATCACCCTCCCCCCTCTAACCGATCCCTCTCACTCCCTCCCCCCTCTCCCTCATCCCCCCTCTCCCTCACCCCCTCACCCCTCTCCCCCACCTTCCCCCCCTCCCTCCCTTACATGCCTGTCTCCCCTCGCCTCACCGCCCCCTCTGCCCGCAGGTCGATCTTCCAGGACATGGTGAGCATGGACACTCTCATCATGAAGGTGATGAACTTCGCGCAGAAGCTTGTCAACGCCGACCGCGCCTCGCTCTTCCTCGTCGACGCCAAGAACCGGCAGCTGTACGCCAGGATCTTCGACATGGGCAGCGAGTTCGACGAGGATAACCCGCCCCAGGCATCCAAGGAGATCAGGTAGGGACGGGGAGGCAGGGGGGAGGGGGTTGAGAGAGGGGGTGGGGTGTGGGGAGAGGGAAGAGGGGTAGGGAGAGAGAGGGATAGGGGACGGGGTTAGAGGGGCAAGGGTGGGGTGAGGTTGGAGGGAGGGGGGAGGATGTAAGAGGGGGTGTAAATGGATGGATCTTTCTTTATTTTCCTTCATTTCTTTTTTCATCTTCTGTTTCTTATCTTCCTTCTTCTCCTACTTCTTCCGCCTCCTCTTCTTCTTCGTTCTACTTTTTTATGCTCGTGTTTCTTCCTTTGCTTTTTTTCCTCTGCTTGTTATTCCTCTTCTTCTTCTTCTTCTTCTGTTGACTCAGTAAGACGAAGAGGGAGCAGGGAGGGAGAAGGAGTATGGGGGTGGAGGGAAGCAGGGAGGCAGGAGAAGAGGGAAGAAGGAGGGAAGAGGAATAGTGAGCCTGTTTTTTTTTTTTTTTTAGTTTATCTCAGATGTATTTTTATGGTTTTGTGTATAAGTGTGTTTGTCTATTTGTCTGTCTGGGTACGTATGTAGATAAATGGCCGACAGATAGACCACCACCTATACACCATCCAAAGACAGACCGACAGGCGAATAGATATACAAAGCGGCCTCGGCTCGCCCAGCGGCAGAGACAAGCGCAAGAGTCCGCGTCCGGAGCGCCAAATTGCCCGAATTAATGGTCACTTTGATCCTCAAATTCGATTCCTGCGTAGTGGAAGCTAAAAGTCTTGTAATAATCTAATAAAGACTTAAATTCGTGTGTAGGTGAGGATCTATTTTCGCTTCCACATTCAGACGCTCCCGAGGCTCTTAAATGTTGCACTAAACAAACGGACGCATTTAACATATAATGAAATAAATAAGAGGCAGCAGTTCTTGACCTGATTCCCTAATTGTTTACTCGTTATTTTGAGACGCGCTGGTGCCCTTCTTGCCCGGAGGTCATATGAGCTCTCGGGGGAGGGAGGAGGGAGGGGGGAGGGCTCGGGGGTGGGAGGGGGGGGGCAAGGAAAGGGAAGGGAAAAGGAGTGAAAAGAATTTTAAGAATTAAGAGGCAGTGCCAGAGGGCAGTAGGGCGGAGGGGAGAGGGTGGAGAGAAAACGTAGGGAGAGAGAGTGAGTGAGAGAGAGGCAGAGAGGGAGGAGGAAAGAGAGGAAGGAAGGGAAAGAGAGAGAGAGAGAGGGGGGGGGGAGACAGAGATCGACAGACAGAGAAAGAGATGGAGGGAGAGAGGACGGGAAAGCGGAAGAAAGAGAGAGTAAGAGGTAGGGGGAAGAAGGAGGGAGAAAAAACATAGATAAGTGAGAGTGGAAATATGAATATACACGTACTTAATAATGAACATCTTGCTAGCCCTAACAACAACAACAGTGCTAATAAAAATGGAAATAATAATAATAACAACAATAATGATGATGATAATAACATTAATGATAATAAAGCTAGTAATGATAATGATAGTAATAATAATAATAATAATAGTAATAATAATAATAATAATAATAATAAAACACAGAAAACGGAAAAAAAGAAAAGCAAAAAGGATATCAGAGAAAGAAAAAATATATGATAACAAAAATGATAAAGGATCCAACGGGACAGCGCCCACGAGCGCCGGGGTTCGAGGCGCCTTTGTGTTAAACCCCACACGGCGCTCGACGCACTAATTACCTCAATGTCTTTTCTGAAGCGCGTCGAGGGGGAGGGGGAGGGAGAGGGAGGGGAGGGGGGGGGGTAGGGAGGGCGAGGGAGGAGGAGTTGGGGGGGTAGGGAGGGAGGAGGAGAGCGAGGAAGGATAGGGAGGGAGGAGGAGAGGGAGGGAGGGGAGGCTGAGTTGGGGGGGGGGCAGGGAGGCAGGGAGAAGTACGGAGGGAGGAAGGAGGAGGAGGGAGGGAGGGAGGGAGGTAGGGAGCAGAGAGGGGAGGGAGAAGTTTAGGAGGAAGGGGCAGGAAGGAAGAGGAAGAGTTTGGGGGGGGAGGGAGGAGGACCAGGGATGGAGAAGGGGA